ATACAGGGCATAGGAAACGCACGAAGAAGACGGGTGCAGTGACGACGCATTCTTGGTGATGTTCGATTGGCTCCATCGGATCGACTTTTGCATCGCTTATCACCTGGGTGAAAAATGCTGAGTCACTGAGCTGTAAACGCACGCGCTGTGTCTGATATATCGCACAGCGGAGCAACCGCGCATGTTCAGAAGGCGTTTCACAGCCCAGCAGACAAAGATGGCAGCGCGCAGAAGGAGATTTTCGTGAAGGCCTGTACCGTCGGCTGCGGTCGAATTTAAATGAAAGCCAAGTATATAGCCTGAGCTCTTTAAGCTGCATTGCGCAATTCCCGACGGCACTTTTGTACATATCTGAATGGAAACGGGCAAGAAATGTGTGGGGATCAAACCCAGGATCCCTCGGTTCTACAGCACGAGATTTCGCTCCAACGCAAGGCCTTCCGAGCGTGGGAAGCTAACATGCAGCTTCATACGAAAAACAAAAACATGAAGTCAAGTTAACATTGAAAAGAATGTAGTAGTGACGTTCGGCAAGCGTTACTTTCTGGGCATCCGTCCGTAAGCGGGCCTTTATATTTGTGTGGCGCTAAAACACAATTGTACTTCGTGCGCGAATCGGCCTTCTCGGGTATTCCGAATATTTACAACACCAACGTGCATTTGTGGCGGCGTATAAGTCCAACGCGAGCGCACCTGTGTGCTGTGGTTCGGGGGATTTGCGGTCTCTCCGAGACCCGTGGAGCTTTCACAGGTGCACATCGACCGCAGATAGACTCGACGTCCAGCCGCGCGTATAAACTTGAGAGGATTACCCTTATGCGATTTCGTGCAGAAAATAGCCTATAGTGCTCTAAATCCCCCCTTCTTTTTTTTTTCGGCGAATATCTGCAATATTTTACGGCCGTTATTTTTTTCTTTTTCTTTTATAATACCGTCTCGCGTTATTCGTCTCCTATCCTTTTATCGAGTTGGAATGGCTTTGGAGCTCGTGACAGTCAAGTTATTTTTGCGGAAGTACGTGAACCTCCATAAAAACAAGCACTCCCAAAAGAAAAAGTATCCCATTCGGTATCTGATTGTTCGCTACGATGGAGCCATTCCCAGAAAGCTCCTTTTTTCAAAGATTTTTTTCCCCCTTTAGTTGTCAAGTTTTATTTGTATTATCATCGTGATTATTATCATCATCATCATCATCATTACTATCGCTCCGCAGCTCAATGGGATTGCGGTATTTGCCGGAAAGAACACCAAAGAACGAATGACGAAGCATATACGAAGCGTGAAGATAATAAGCCGCACCACCCTGGCCTTTCTTAGGCTGTCGGCGACTGTATACGGTGCGCAAGTGCGTCTGCTCTTCGCGCATATCGGGTATACGCTTGCTTACCGCAGATGTACCCCCTCCATTTGTCTCCCCCTCCCCACCCCCCTTTCAACCAATGGCGGCGTGCGCTTGGCTACCTCGTCTTTGGACCTTCCCGGCCAGTTTTTGCCTTTTGATTGGCCAGTGCCCCTCCTTGCATTCCGATGCGTCAAAGGCGCACTATGAAACACTTCCACGCTGTATAGTTATACTGAAGATACCTCGTAGTACTATTAACGGTAAAAATATATTGGGCATTGACTAAAGTTAGTATGGACCTCTCAAAAAAAGGCTTCTGGCCGGTTCCATTTTTAGCGTTCGTGCGTAAGGCGCGTGATTTGGTCGCCTTTCGAAGCGTCGAACATGCACTTGCTGGGCTGAGGAGATCGCACCCTGGGCTGAGGACTCGTAAATATTGGAATGGTGTACAGGAGAACATTACCTATGTCATAACTGTGTGTGTGTGTGTGTGTGTGTGTGTGTGTGTGTGTTTTTCTTTCCGCTCAGGCATCAGCAGTTAGTCAAACTAGAGGTTATGATCTATATCAGAACACGAGGTTTAAGATGAAAAATATGAAGTTTCTAAATAAACATGACCCCATCATATTGTAAATTTATTGTATTTATATTGTAAACATAAAATTGTAAACAGAAAGTCACAAAGGGCAACCCAAGAAGAAAACAGCCCGTGTGTTTTTCAATTTTAGCGAGTTTATAACCGCGCTTTCCAATCTTGAGCTGAGCGGGTTTTCATTTTTTTTTTTTGTATTGGAAAAACAACAAAAGAAAATTGTTTTCCAAAACGCACTTTAATACCCTTTTAATGTGTTACCGAGTTAGACCGCCTTCGCACGAAATCGATTGTTGCTTTGTTGGGTTTTGTTGATACCCCTGTCTCCGACCCGGGGTCAAGACCTTTCTTTGCCTACTTGGTAAGGGGGTGTAGCTCGAAAACCCGATTCAGACAGACGAAGCAAGTTGCAATCGGCCGTTACGGCCGCCCATAAAACGGTTCGACGGCGCCGTCTTTGCCGCCAACGCGGAAAAAAGATTTCAACCGTCCACTGACAGAGGCAACACGTGTCACAAACGGGCGGGACACCGTTTCCGTTCGAGCGCTTGGTCATTTCCGGTTTCGCTTCTATTTCCGTTTTTGTACCGCAACAGTTTCCCCGTTGCGAAAGTCGACTTCTGTTTCAGCGGTAAATGGTGCGCAACTCAAAAGTAGCGAGGTTGGCAAAAAACAACTGCACATGACCTTGAAAGGAGGACGAAACAAAGGCCCAAGCATCCGGCTGCCGGAAGCCTACCATTAGGTTGATCTTCTGAGCACCGATATGCTTTGTTTCACCGTAGATCAGAGCGCAATCAAAGGCTACACAACGCAGAAAAACGGAAAGACATACCGCATTTCAAGGGATGTAGTCCTCTCCCGGTATATAGACCTCAGGGGCAAATTTAAGGTCAAAAATAAAAGTTCTGGTTAGGTAGTCCGCACCCGGTGCACAGTCCGCACGCCGTGCATAGTCCGCACCTGGTGCAAAGTCGACACGCAAATCTTCTCATACACTGCACAGCTTGACAATTGGCTGCTTTCTTAGCTCACAAAGAAGCTCGTATTATACCTAAATCTTCATTCGCAAACTCCGTCACTCCTCGTCATAATTAACGATATTGAAAAAAAAAAAAAAAAATTCCCGTGTTGTCCGCACGCGTAGATAGTTCCGCAGAGCCTAAAATTTCGACTTTTATACATGTATAGTACGCGGACTACACACCTTTTCTACGTGAGCGCCGCCATCTTCAATTCTGGAACTTCCGGTATGCGTGAAAACATCGCTTTCCTGTCGCCTCGCCAGTAGAACATGCTAACATTTTAATTGCAACCGTCATTCCTTCTTGTTTTGCCCTTCCTATGTTTTTCTTGTTTTCTTTTTCCGGGTTGAAATCTTGCTTTTTTTCGGAACGCATACCGAATATGAGGGCAACGTGGCTCGGTACGAGACTAAACAAAAAAGATGTATAGCCCGGAAAATTCGGTACTAAAAGCGAGAGTTCACAGCGTATTCACTCGCTCGAGTGTCTAAGCCCATAATTTCACATCCACAGAAGGATTGCAAAAGCCGTGACCTCGCACTTTGGGCGCTGCTTGTAAGTCCCTACCGGTTCATCGAGCTAGCCAAACTATACACGTTTTCCGAATAACCAGGCTTTGCTCTTCCCGCCGCACTCTGTTTATCACGTTTGAATTCGAGATAGAAATTGAGAAAACGGGCAATGAATGTTAAAGCAATACTGGCATTCAAGTGTTCTTCACTAAGTGGGGTGACGTCACACGTGGTAGAACTTGCCACTTATGCAGGGAGCTTCCAAAAACAGAGTTTGTAGCGTACTTCTTACATATATTTTTCTTATTTTGCTGGAGTGAGTATCCTCTGCTGCATTCGTTTGGTGTACACCGTCACGTGTCTTGTAACCGTAGGGAAGAAGCCAGACTGCCCCCTATGGCTTAACGCGACGTCACGTTTTCAGTGTTGCCAGTAGAGCCTCTCAGGGTCCCAGACCGAAAGCAAAATCTCAGTAATTTGGCGAAAAAAAAAATGCTTGCAGTAGCTGAGGGAGAGGAGGGGACGAGAGAGCCCGGGGACGTCGGAACCTCGAGCTCTCCTGGTTTGGATGATCAGTGGGCAGGAGACGTAAAGCGAGTTGTATTTTCCTCCACTGCGCTCGTCGAACGCGTTAAGGCCCACTCACACACTTGCGACTTCTTAGAACCGAGTGCCTTAAAACCTTTTTAAAATCTCTTACGACGAGAGAACATCCTAGCACGCTGGCGCCATCTATGCGGTGACCCTGAAACTCCATTTCCGTAGAGCGCAGGTCTTTGCGGTATTTGCGAGGTGAAACGTACGGGCATTGAGAAATAAACGTTTCTAACATTGAGAAAAAAAAAATTTTAGAGCCAAAAATGAAAAAAAAAATGATGCGCGAAGAAATGAAAAAAATACATACGGGACGGCCTAGTGTTCCAGGGCTGTCCAATAGGTGGCACCGTAGTGTTCTCTCGCCTACAACGCCTTTACAACATTTGCTTCTCGAGTGTCCAGCACTGGAACCTGTAGCAGGCGTCGGTACTCGCATTGAGCAAGCTCTTGGATTTACAGAAGAAACCAATTTTGTGGCGTGCGCGAAGCGGAGGCTCGAGGCTTGGTGGGCGATTCACCTGTAACGCTCGCCGAGAAGGCATTGCTGGAGACGCTGCTGCGAGACTCGTGCCAACAGATCGACTACTCCGACAAGGAGCGGGAGGCTCTGCTTAGGGTGAACGAGCGAATGGCAGGCAAGATAACTTCAATGCACATCACCATTCATGGTTTAGAAGATGCTTCCCGACGTAGCGCCATTGCTGCTTCCGAGGCAAACAAGGTGGCGGAGAAAGGGAAGTCGTTGGCAGAGAAGAGGGGGGCATACCTGCTGGAGGAAGAGGAGAAACACAGGCAGGCCCCAGAGAAAATGTGGCAGGAGTTTGAGGAGAAGCTACACTTGTCAAACGAAGCACCTCTTGTTGAGCAGGAGCGTGCGACGAAGGTGACAGAGAACGAAGCGGCGCTGACGCTACAAGCGTCTGCTGCCCTCTATGAAGGAGAAGGTGCTTCAGCGCAAGGCTGAGGCGCAGGAACGCGTGGACATGCTACAGAAAGCCATTGAGGAGTCCAAAGATGACCTGAAGCAGTGCAAAGCAAGGCAACGTTCGGACGTCTGCGCAAAGCTCAAGGCGCAGCTGGACGATGCCGTAAAGGATCTCACCATCCATCTGGAGATGTCAAACAACCAGAAGTGAGATGTTGAGAGAAAGCAAAGGAGCTGAAGCACAGAGCACAGGACAACATCGAGGAGTGCAAGATGCAGGACAAAAAGAGAGGATTGTCTAGGGTGAAGGAGTTGAAGAGGCAGTTCCGGACGGAAAGAAGATGGGCAGACAAGCTTCAGGAGAGACTTCAGGAAGTTCTCAACGGCACGAGTCTCGGGAGATCTGACGAGCTGTTTCGGCCCATTAACTACGAGGAGCGCCAGTGCGGTGACTCCAGCAGCAACAATACTCCAATTTCTTCTTTTTTTTTCTGGGGGGGGGGGGGGGGGGGGGGGGGGCGTGTCTGTTTTGCAGACGCTCGTTGCAAAGAGCAAGCGCCGCATAAATAAATACATACATACATACCTAGAGTTCCTATATATAGCTACCTATGGTAGCAGAGTTGCGCATTCAGCCTCAACGGATGGCCACAGCGCCGGCTTTCCTGCACAGCCCTGGATGCTTTGCTCGTCACGTGACTGAATTCGGCGAATAGCGGCGCGAGGGCGCCGCCGTGCATGGAAAACAGGGGAGGAGAAAGAGACGAAAGGCAGGGGAACATACGCTGGGGCGCGTGCAACGTCGGCGGAGCGACCGTAGCGGTGGCTTTCTTGCACGGCGCTTGGTGCTTTGCTCGACACGTGATCGATCTCGGCGAATAGCTGCGTGGCGGCGCGGGGAAAACAAATGCGCAACTCTGCTCCCCCTTCGGGGGAGCATATCGAGGAACTCTACTCTCGCCGTAAGAGATTTGAAGAGGGTTCAAGGAGGCATTCGGTTCTAAGAAGTCGCAAGTGTGTGAACGGGCCTTTTAGAATGCGAAAGCCAAACGCCCGAGGCCTGCGTTCCGGGTTCTAACGCGTTTGGCGAGTGCAGTGCAGACAAAGGTTGCTAGCTTTGATTCTGCCCACTAATCATTCTAATCCAAGTTCGGCGTTTTGGCGACGTCCATGCACGCTCTCGTTCCTTCCTCTCCCTCAATTTCTCGACGTGACTGGTAATTTAGGTTAGTATAGTGCAGATGCGTTTCATGTACTGAAGCAATTTTGAGGCAAATCAGATGCTATAAAAAGTTTCGACAGCGATCTCGCGAACTTTTTCTTGGACCTGCAGGGATCCACGTCGAGCCTTTAGGGTTAAATAAATCGGCAAACCTTTTTGAAAAGAAAAATCAACAAGATATGACTTTTGAACAGTGTTGACCGACTTCAAGATGAAAGTTCAAATTTAGGAAAAGAATAATCTATATGGTTAGTCCGTTTTAGATTTTAAACAATATAAACCCAATAAAAAAGCATTACAATAATATAGTTCGTTGGCTACTATGAGGCAATACAGGATAAATTCCGCAGGGGGCTGGTCGGGGATCCACGAACGATGACGTCATGAACAGGATTTGTCTTCTGGGTGGCATTTTCCCTACTCTACAGCTTCGAGCATGATTTTGTTCCCGCTGCAGGCGGGTAGAAACTGGGGAGAAGGAGGAGACTCGGAGCCCGCGGGGGCGCCGTAGAGCCGAGCTCTGACTGGAATGATTAGTGGGTGGACGCAAAGGCCACATCTGCCTTTCTCTCTACTCACTCTTCGAACGCGTTCGAACGCCGAAAGCCGGACGCCAGCGTTCGGAGTTCCAACGCATTCGAAAAGTGAGTTGAGAGAAAGGCAGATCTAGATCTGAGTCGTAAGTTAGAGTCGAAAGATCGGGGAGCCCCGCGGGCTCCCCGATCTCCTCCTTCTTCTCCTTTTCTCTCTCTCTCTTCCAGAGTAGGGCGTGGCCTGCTCTAGTCACGCTTCTCTCGTCATGACACCTCCTTCGGCGTTCTTACCGGCCAATTCTGCGATCACATTGGCGGCGGAGTCATGATTAGATGCTCTAGACGACTCGTCACGTACAGCGTTTCTGAAGTTGTCAGTGAGGAATATAGATATTTTTAACTTCTTCGGTAAATAAGGCTCTTTTTTTTTTGTTTTTCATTTTTGTTTTTGTTTTGTTTTTTTGTGATTTAAATGAGCGTATGGTTGCAACAATGTGGGGCAAACAATATTTTTTTTCTTTATTGCATACGATATTTTATTCTAACATAACTTTTTTTTAACTTATAACGGGTTTTAACGCACAGTAATCATTCGAATAAAGTTTCTTTCCAAACAACTCAAAGTTATCCAAGCTCGGAGTGTAAAACGTAAAACCAGAATTCGCTATTTGTTTCCTTCTTTTTATTGACCCGCCTTATCCCTTCCGACTTGCGTTGTCTTTGCTCCGCCCAAACAGACCGTCATTATGTCAACAGCTCGAAAGGGGAGAGATAAATCGATAGATCGTTTTTCGTCGTCAATACCGTACACTCGGTACGCTTGTGGAACGCGTGTCCGACCGGTGTGTTTACCGAGTCCTCAAAAGTGGTCCCTCGTTTTCCGCCTAATGACGTCAAACAAGTGTCGTGTTGCCGCCCGCAGCGATCCTGGTGGTGTCAGAGGAGCGCTGCGGGTCCGTCTCCAGCCTGACAGTCCTCGGAAGCTTGAGCAGCCAGGAGTTGAGGCACCGTGGCGGTTGAAGCGATACTGGCGTTCGCTCGTATTCTATATTGCCGGGATTTCGAGCAGCAACCTCCAGAATCGAGACATCCGACATCGTGACACGTCGGCTTCTGTGACGTCGTTTCTTGCCACTTCGCGACCGCCTTTTACGTATGGGCGAAATAGGACGCTTAGCGCACCAAACGCGTTCCACGCGCCGTAGTTTCACAGTCCCCAGGTGCTTTTACAGCCTTGTCACGTACGTCTGTCTAGACACTGCGCTGACCACAACTCTATACGTAATCGACCTTTGTTTTTCCGTCATCTACAAGGACTTATAGCGAAATAAAGTTGGAGCTCGCCACGCTCTTGCCAGAGTTTCGAGTTAGTAGAATTAAGCAATTGCACTCGAGTGAACAATCGCACGGGTTGGCGTTATGTCCGTACGACTAGCGCTCTTCTTTCGACTCTTTCCATCCAGCTAGACCAATCAGGACTGTGTGTGCGCGCCACTCCTCTTACCTCCTTACCTGCGTATACTTGTTGCATCTTGCTTCTGCTTCGGGGGCTGGTATTGGCCAAAGGGACGAAGAAGCGATTTTTTTTTGTTCCGAAAGCAGCAAGCAGAGGACACCACAATGTATTGGGCACTCCGCCTCCTAAAAGAAAAAGAAGAAGTTTACAATGCAATTATGTTGCACCGATGTTTCCGCCGAGTGTCCGTACACACCACAGTCTCGAAATAATCTATAGTGCACCTAGGCCTGGTTCAGACAGGTACACTTGCCCGAGCGTCTAACCCAATAAACCCTATTTTGAAACAGAACAGGAACGATACTTAGTTTCTCCGTAACTTGGCGAAGAGCGAACGCTACGGCCCCTTTGAACCAATCGGAGCGTAGTAGGCGAAGCATGTGAGAGCCATTACCAATGGTAGATGGGAAGAGAGAGCGTAACCCAAGTGGTTGGAGAAGAGGGGGTGGAGGGAAATCCCTCTTACCCGGACCCTGTGTTTTGTGTCCGGGACGTCGCTTTTGTCCACTTCGAAGAGCCCGTCAATTCAAATGCGTAAAAAACCGGTTTTCCCCTCTGCCCGGTTCGTGGCTTCGACAGCTTCTTCTGCTTCTTCCTGTGATGTTTTAGGTAAAAAATTTGGAAAAGAGACAGAAGTGTGTGCGCCCTATCACGTGTACGATACTCATTACAAGTAATAAAATTACACGTAATCGATTACTTTTAATGTGAAAGCATTAACTGTCTCTTGGAGCGAGCTGACGTCATCAGTTTGAAGCGCGAAAACGGCTCCTAGTTTCCGTGATTTCGCCTTCGGTTCCATTGGCCGGCGCGCGTCGACAGGGCTTCCATTGGCCGCTGCGCCATGGTCTCCAAGATCCCGAAGCGCGCGTGCGCTAGTGCGTAGCAGACGACCAAGGGGTCGGACGAGCAGACGATAAATGGGAGCGGATGAGCGGCTTGCATGATTTCGTATTCACAACTCATAAGAAATGCTTAGGTGTACCTCGAGCTTTTTGAAATCATTTTGAATCATTCAATCACATTTATTAAAAAATAATCGCAACAGTAATCTGATTACTTTTGTAAGTGCTAAAATTACTTCTAATCGTTACTTCTTTTCCCTCCCGTTTCTGATGGCGCACTTTGTTCGTACAATTTTCCCACCACGAAATCCTCGAACCAAATCTCCAACAGGAGAGTTTACCGAAATCCGTGGATTAAAGGTAAAGGGGCCCTGCAACAATGTTCACTTCGAGTGTGTTTCACTTTACACGAGCGTACTGGCACTAATGGGACCCCACTGCACTCGCACGCAACGCCACTTACCAAGAAACTCCTGTGTTGCGGGGTAATTTAAAGGACAAAAGCGAGCATTTTCTTTCAGTTTCTCCTTCGCAAAACTTAATGACCTAGCTGGGGAATTAAAAAAAAAAACTTTGATGTGTGTGTATGCTTATGCAGTCGGAAGTTAGTCCGCCTTGCCTTAATGGGCGACTTGCCTCTCAGCTGTATAGATTTTAGCCTGTGAAGTACAACCGCTAGTAACGTGCCTCACTCAGTAGTGATACACGACCGCACGCCGGTACGATGCTCATCCACATCGAAACGGGCAGGGGTGGGGATTGAACCCAGGATCCCTGGGTTCAATGCCAGGGGTCCTGGGGAAAAACCCGGGATCCTTGGCTCGTGCTGCAGAACCCAGAAGCCCTGGGTTCCGCAGCGCGAGCTTCGGCTCCACGTGCTCCGAGCTGGTGTGCGTTAGCCCACTCGGCCACCGATTCTCCCAGCGGGGTATCGCAGTACCGCCCAGAGACGATATTTGAATACGGCTCATAGATTGGACCCGAGCATCGCGTGAGCACTCAATTTGGGCTCGTGATGATCGATATCTCGAGAAGCATTCGGGTAGTGGCCCGCGTCGAATCGCTGCAATAACCAACAATAGCCGAACCAT